AAACTTTTCTCTATCATATCTCAAGAACAGTTTCACCGAATGATATCAAATTTATAGAGCAGACTCAGCACAAATATATGCCCCAAATGAACGACAATCTTGCCAAAATTCAAAATATTTCTATTTTTATAGCAAAAATATAAGGAAAAGACCATGAAATTTGACAATTTTTCCTCGGAGGTCTACCGAAAATCCAATTTTTGATATTTTCAATTGAGAATAGTTCAATGGGTGCATTTAAGCTTGTAGATTAAAACGTCATTATTATTTTTCAGATAAGCCAATCAACCGGAACAGTGGAAAAAGTTACCAAATCATTACCCTTTTTTCGAGGCGGGTGTGTTCAGAGTGCTTTAACTCACGTTCTATTGGATATTTTTGGCTGAACAATTATATACATACTCTTAAGATACATATAAATCACCGTTTCTCAAACTGTGGGGCGTGCACCCCTTAGAGAGCGTGACAACTTTACTAGGGGGGTACGACCATATTGAAAAGGTGACAAGAAAAGATTATTTTTTAAAAAAAATATTAATTTACTGAAAGTAAATGAACAAAATACATTCTGACATTATAAAAAATAAAATCTACATTTACACTGATAAATTACACTTATAAATATATCAGTGCTACACTATGAATTTTATAATTAATTTTAAAATACTAAGTAAAAACAAGTCTATTAATGACCAGTAGCCCCATGAGCTTGTCACTTTTCTAAATAATTTTTGCACGGTTTATAATTAAACCTTAACTGCCGATCAAAAATTTCGTGATTCGCTTCCAAATGCCAACCGTTTTCCACGTAGACACGCGTATGTGATGCATGGAGAGATTGAGGGAGGAATAAAGAAGCAAAAATAGTCTAAAATAAGTAAATCCTTCGCAAACATTGCCTGGGTCCTTTTATTGCACATTCGAAAGTCTTTGGAATAATTTTACGGATAGCAGTGCACAGAATAGATCGTACTTCGGAAAGACGTATATATACGTCTGGGGAAATAAACGCTTTGGCTTAGCGAGATGTTTGTATACACGGGGGGGTTGCTTAAGAAGTTAAAGTCGTATCGTGGCTTTAGCGTCAAAGTATAGTATTATTGAATTCTGTACATTGTTATTTTATGAGGGGAGGAGGCGTGATGAAAAAATTATGATTGGATATTGGGTTGCGAATATTGTAACTTTGAGAAGTACTGATATAAATAAATGATAAACAACGTGAAGTTCTATCTTTTTACTGGTCGTCAAAATAATTCCCTAAAAATGCTTGAAAAACAGGCCATCACATGGATGAAACCCCTTAAATGAGTCGGGGTTCAAAGTGTGCTTCGGTTGGAATGCTCTGGAAGTCAGAAGACTGGGGTGCTAGCTCACATGTAGTCCACAACACTTGACTGTAGCTCAAAATTGTGAGGCTTCTTACTGCTAGCCCTCGTGTTGCTTCACAGTGTGACTTGAGTTAAAAGTCAAATTTCGCCGCATATAATGCTTTACTTAACGTTGAACACACACGTTTTTTTAATATCATCTCACTAGTCATTTTCTCCGCTGTTTTACCCACGGAATACTAATGATTACCTTTACTTTCCTTTTTTTACAGAATGAAGACATTCATAAAAGTAATCCTTGCTGCACTAACACTCTTGAAGCTGCAGTTAGCTGGTTGCCTATCAGAGGATGCACATATTTCCTATCTCACCGAACGACTCCATTATCCTTCCCTCCATTCTGCAGAAGATATTAGCTCCCAAGACGGAACTTCACTTTTAGATCACATTTATGAAAAAGATGACGATTTAGCAGATGATATTACCGATTGGAAATACCAACTTATTCAGAAAGGTGGTTTTGGCAAAAAAAGAGGATTTGGCGAGAAGAGAGGATTTGGTGAGAAGAGAGGATTTGGTGAGAAGAGAGGATTTGGCGAGAAGAGAGGATTTGGAGAGAAGAGAGGTTTTGGAGAGAAGAGAGGTTTTGATGAGAAGAGAGGATTTGGCGAGAAGAGAGGATTTGGCGAGAAGAGAGGATTTGGCGAGAAGAGAGGATTTGGTGAGAAGAGAGGTTTTGGCGAGAAGAGAGGATGTGGTGAAAAAAGGGGATTTGGTGAGAAAAGAGGATTTGGTGAAAAGTAAGGATTTAGGATAAAATGCTGAGTTATTGGAAAACTGAATCTATGAAAACATATCTATTAGAAATTGATGAACATTACCCCAAACACGTTATTCGGTACTCTATTTCATACTGAAGATTATACATAAAAATTTGAATTTCGTAAAGGAGCAACTGACTTTTTTAAACTTATAATGCGGTCGAAAACATTTAGCTAACATGTGTGTTTGTAAATAAAATTATTACCAATTTGATGTTAAAATTTATAGAAAAATATTGTAATGACTCTAATTGTTCAAGATATATTAAGAAACAACTGTTAATGATGAAATTACAGAAAATAAAATGCATTGTGATTTTGAACTTGTTGCATTAATATCCCCTTTTAATATTTATTTTCTACCATACAAAACTTTTCCAACATAGCAAATACGTTATTCATCTGCTTGGGTGTTAAAGAACGTACATTAAGAAAATGAACATTTTAAGAATTTAATTATTTTATAGTTATTTCACTCTCTCGATTTGTCCAAATCAGTGTACATAATTTATTTAGCTAGTTCACTTCCCCAACACTCTTATCTCAAAAATAGTATTTTACTATGTCTACAACCTCCCAACTAGGAAGTATAAAAGGATATGCATGATTCTTTGGATTAAAGCAACGCTTGAAAATATGGGGGACACTAAACATTTATTTCATCGAAGTACATATATAGTATTTAATAAAAAGAGGTTAAAACTCATTTTTTATATATGTATTATATACAAATATTTTTATTAATTAAAATTGGCTATAAACTATAATTTTTTTTTCAATTTGTTATAGTCTAAGAATATGAAATTCAATGTAATCAGAATAATTATATGAAATAATTCAAAGTGTCATTATAATAGTTTAACCATATATTAGTGAAAATAATACAAGAATAATTCCAGGCATTGTATAACATAATTAAACAAAAATGAATATATTAATGCTCTTTAAATTACAAGGAATTAATTCTACTGTTTTGGCCCGATGTTGTATTTCACTCCAGGGAAGATGAACATTAAATTATAAAATTTCCATAACGGTTCGATCAATAAAGTGTTCAAAAATAAATACACGATTTATACAATAAAAATGATAAAAATTATTAACGCATCTAATAAACAAGAAACGACAAGATATTGGGAGGAATTTCTTATATCGTTTTAAGGTCACATCTATCCAGCAGAATGTATTAAAACAAGTAATATCAACTCATACCTATATCTAAGATGATGATGTAATTTAACCCTTTCGTGGGTTATAGGAAAATTACTTCTCGTCCACATTATCTTTCAAAATACACCTGTGGGAAGCGCAAAACTCATTATAATATACTATCTTTGCTATTATAATAATGGAGAAACTAATCCACACTTCAGTTTGGTGCTACTGCACATAATCCAGCGATTATGACATCTGTTAATCGAACAAAAAAGGCTAAAAAGAAATATTAATAAGAAATACCTATAAGAAAAAACTAAACTAACTAAACTAAATTGCAGAGAATTACTAATAAGAAAGATAAATAAGAAATACCTTGTCCCCAAAAGCTGTCGCTGTGTATAACGATGTCATGGGAGGGGTTGACTGCTTCAATCAAAGGAAAGAAATATACCAAATAAGAAGATCTGTAAAAGAGTGGCATCGTATATTTTGTTTTCCTACTGATAAGAGGCTAAGAAAAGAGGCTGCTACATATGTTCAGAATATGATGCCCCCTTGAGCATTGCAAAATGTTTCTCATCTTTTCATGACAAATAACCCCCCATTAAATTTAATTTTCTTATGATGCCGAATGGTTCCTTGGGAAGTATTCCTCCCACTCTTAAAATTTAAATGCAAACATAAAATTAGGCAAAATAAAATACATTTCCTTAAATGCTATTGTTTAATTGTTAATAAAACATACAAAACTGCAACAAATTCGAAAGAGAAATAAATGGCCCACAAAAGAGCTAATATATTGTTGAAAGGAAAATATATAAGTTCATAATACGAATGTTCTTATGTATTTGGTTGTAAGTGGATAAAAGCATATCCTAGAGTTTCTTAATAAAGCATTTGAAAATATTTAAAAAGTAACATGCATAGACGACGTCAACCTAAATACGGTAAACAAATCGCAATTCATTTTGTGCTGGAATAGTATTCTAAATAGAAAGGATTAAAAGTTTCCATTTCCTTGAGGGCGAACAATCGGTCGATCAATGCTCAGACCTCAAAAATAAATCTGCTGAGATTGATTGATTGAATATTAACAAATCTGCTGAGAGTCTGTAATTTGATTTCACTTTGAAAGTGCAAGGAAGATGGTGATATTCTCCGAATTCTGTACAGTAAATCAAATCAGTGATTGTCCCACCAATTTGTGTTGTTCTTTCCCTTCATATAAATCAACTGCTTAGAAACACTTTAGCATGAATTTTTTTTTCGTGGGCGTCAAATGCACTTTGAAAAAAAAGGGGAGAGTTTTATCAAAAAAAAATATCTTAAAATATTTATCTAAACATTTTACTCGTTTATAGCAGGTTGAAGCAAAACGCCAATGTGTGATCAAATTGCGATTTAACATCATGCGTTGGGAATTTATCATACAGAATATCAATACATTTTTATACATGTATTCTTTTCAGATGAAGAAAGAACGTCTTTTATTTTTTGTGTGAACAGTTTGAGAAAGTAGGACAAGGGTAACTTTGGGAGAAAATGTTTTATATTGTTACATTTGGGTTGCTCTCAAACAAATTGACTTTCATGTGTAAATGTTCAAAAAGTTCAGAATGCGTTTCAACCACTATTTTTCAGTTATTGTAGAAGTTTTGTTATAAATGGCAGGGAGCAGCAGTTGCTCTACGCCCAGATGAGCATCGGCGATCCGGTGTGCGCGGTTCAAGCCCGTAGTTGATGAGAGTCCGAGTGATTCAATTCCACCTTATGAGTGGGGACGAATGACTTCTCTCAAAAATCGGTTCCTTTACTAATTCTTTTTGTAGATATTTCTGAAAATTAAAGTTTCTCTTTAGGTTTGAAATATCAGCTTTGCGAGTCTCAGACATTCAATTTTCCATTCATTAGAATGAAAAGAATCATCTTTTCCTTTCTACAAAAATATATTCTACCAAAATGTTTTAAAAGTAGAAATGTGAACCGACATTATTTTGTTTCGTACTATAAAAATCAACAAATTATATTTTATAATAGATGCGCTACTCAGTCCAGATATTGGCGTGGTGTGGAAGTTAGAAGAGTTGAGTTTTGACTCAGTGTCGTCCTCGATACATGACAACAGTTCATTTCTTGAAGAGCGTCACGAAAAGCCCTTGTGTCACTTTAAATGTAACGTTATTAAACACACACTCTGAAAACATTCGGAAATATTCAGAGTATGTTCCCAACCACTATTTTTAAGTTATTCTAGAAACTTGGTTATAAAAGAAAACGAGCGATAGTTGTTTTACTCCCAGATGAGCATTGATTGTCCGGTGTGCGGGCTTCAAACCCGCAGCTGATGAGAGTCGGAGTGGTTCAGTTCCACATTCTGGGCGTGGGTGAATCCATTTTCGAGTGTGTTTCTGTTTTTAGACCTAATTTCGAAAACATAAAATGTTTTTTTCCGCTTTAAAACAATACCTGTATTCCTATAGACTACGTTTCAACTTGTATTGCAATTCAAAGATGCATTTTTTTCCTGTTTCAGTGACTCTTCATTTCTATCAAGATGCGTTTAATATAAAAAAGAATTGACAGTTTCTCATGGCATGCATTTACAAAGATAATCTGAAAAAAATACTTAGACGAATAAGCATTTTAGGTTGCAAGTTGAAGCAACGTTATGCGAATAACTTTCTTCATGCTTTGTGAATTTATCTCTTTGATTCCTGTTGAAGTTTGTTTTCCCCCATTTATTACAGATGAAGCAAACAACATGGTACTTTTTGTACCAGCAGTTTGAGGAATATATAAATTTACATAAGCGTAATATTAAACCAAAATATTTTACTTTTACAATCCGACTGGTCTCCGAAAACCGCATCTTCTATAAAAATTTCGGAAAGGTTCAGAGTATTTCCAACCACTATTTTCAAGTGAATGTTGCAGCTTTGTTATAAATGACAATGAGCAAAGGCTGCAGACCAGATGGGCATCGGTGGTCCGGTGTGCGGGCTTCAAACCCGTAGCTGATGAGAGTCAGAGTAGTTCGATTCCACCTTCTGGGCTTGGTCCAACTGATCTGCGGAAGCGTTTTAGTTTTAGAGCTGATTTTGAGAGCATAGAATGATTTCATGTTGCTTTTGAAACATGATATTTATATACTTCAGAGACCTTACTCATTAATTCAACTTGTAATAGAATCACTGAAAACCTTTTTTTTTTCATTTCTATCACGGTGCATTAAATACAAAAAAAGCATTCTCATTGCGCAGCGTAATAAACTTTTACAATATTTCAAAATATGAAAACATTAAGTAGTTAACAAGTAGCACACACACACACATTTTCTATTCCTTCGTCAGTTAATTTTGAACCATGTTTTTCTATTTTCCTCACAATTGCTCGCAATATTTCAAATAAAGTTTGGATATTCTTTCAACAAAATGTGTTTTTTCTGGGAAACAGAATATGTTTCTATGATTGCAGAATTGACTTCTTCGAAAAGATTTGATTTCACCAAACTGCTTCCAACATCGACTAACATCAATTAAAAAAAAATTGCCTTTTAATCTAAACAAAATCTTAATAAAGGGAAAAATATGAAGAGGGGAAAATAGGGAGGAGAAGGGTCTATATATTTTTTTTTAAAAATTAGATAACTATTTCAAGCACCTTCCGCAGTGGATTTTATTTTTCTGTTTAAAGTTTTGTGAATGAAGTCAGAACGGCCGATCTTGTAACACTGGCTAAACAAAACGCCGCACATGTATAGTGGTAGGTGTTGACCATCTGCCCTCACCGTTGCTCAGTTGAGCGTCGTTTATGTTCCAAGTAAGACTTGTTTTATCAAATGTTTCCTCAGTGCGTTGGTTTTTAACTGAGAACAGGAAAATGAACAATCAGTCTAAAGTTTTGTTTTAAGCTTGGCAAGACACCGAAAGAAACTTATGCAATGTTGGTACGTGTTCATTAAGATCAAACACGTTCCATGAAGTGTGTGTACGAGTGGTTTGCTCATTTTCGAGAAGGCTGGGAAAGTGGTTCTAACAAAACACGTAGCGGAAGACCTGTGACATAAAAAAAAAGTCAGTAAGGAAATTAATCATGAAAGATAGTCGATTAACTGTGCGCATGATAGCTGTATCCAGTATTTCGGGACGAGAAAAACGTGGGTAATGTGTACAGTACGACCCCAGTACGTACTGCAACGTTCATGGTTTTTTGTTCTCGACATTGCTCACTCTCAAAAATTGAGCATTGATCATACTCACTAGATCTCAATACTTTAGACTTCTACATATTACCACGGCTCAAACTCGCTTTAAAAGGAAAGAGATTTGACGCCCACGCCCACGGCCTCAAAATACGAGGTACCTTACCAAAAAACAGTATTACCCTTTCATCATAATTAATAAGAAAAAAGAAAAGAATTAATTGAAAGTTCCATAAAATTTAAAAGACACTATCAAAATTATTAACAATAGCTCAGAGCCGTTCTAAAAGAAAGCTTCTCACCAGTAGCCGAGGACATACTACCAGTGAGAGAGCGAGAAATAATTCAATCGGCAAGTATGGAACATATTTAATGAGGCACCATCCCGGAAGGAGGTGGTAGAAATCTGTGCTCTTCTCTAATTCGTCCTTAACGGAACGAAATCAGAAAGTAGACACGGAATTTGGAAGATAAAAAAGATGAAATGGAAAATAAAAGCAATTAATGCCGTGGTGCTCGTGGTACTTGATGTTTAAATAAAGGGAAAGGACAAACACTTCTGAATCGTGTAGTGATGACGGGAGTGTCGCTGAACAGCGATCGAAAAGAGAAGGCGTTGACACAGAAAGTGTCCATAACGTGATGCCATCTGCTGGAAAATGAGTAAAATAAAATATGATCCACAAAAGATGTGGAAAAGGGGAATAATTGACATGGAATTAAATTACCACGCAAGACCGATTCAAAAGAATGTGGGTTTAAGTCGAAGTAATTTAATGGAGATGAAATCTTGCACATATATATATACAAAATGACAAAAGTTAAAATTAGAGGGGTTTTTTTAAGAGATTTGACGATATTTCTGACATCCAACTAAATATCACGAGGCTTTTAAACTCCATCCTAAAAGAAGACTTCTTTCTAAGTTTCCTTGAACATGTATAGCAGGTCTCAGAGGTGCATAGTCATGAGAGGTGATTATTTTGAAGGACAATAAGGTAACTTTCGTTAATATTTTATCTACGTTAATGTTACGGAAATATTCTAAACTGAACTCAGTGGTGCAACAGCCCATGAGGGTCAAGACCAACTGTGCTTATCTCAGTATACGCGACTGTAGACGCTGGGGTGCTTGTGCAGAAGTTTCGGTCAAGTAGTCAGTCTGATGAGAAACCCCCAGTGTTCAGTTCCCCAGCACGATTGGTACTCATTTATTGACACACTGAAAGGAATGAAAGGCTGAATCGACCTTGGCCAGCCAGGGATTTGAGCTCCCAACAGTGGCGTGGAAGCGCCATACTCTACCACTCAGCCACTGGGCTTCACAAGACTATTCACCAAACTTTATTGTCAGAGGATGTAATCTCTGAAGCACCTGAATTCTGAAAAACTCTCCAGCCTGTATATAATGTGGAATATTTCCTGTTGTAAAGATCTCTCCTGCTTAGAGTTATGACTTGGAACGAAGATTCCTTATTAGTTTCAAATTGTGGTGCTAAGAGTCGGGTAATAGGAAGCGATCGGAGTTTTGAGTGTGGGGAAGTGAATCTTGATTTCAACCAATAGAGGTGACATCTATGAGTATAACTTCAGTAAAACTTGAGATTTTCCGTACTCGATGTTTGCTGTTAATTTTTGGTAAAGTAATAGCTCTCCACTGTCTCTGATCTTTTCTTAACTTTTAAATCCAAAATACTGAAGAAAATTGGGTTTTAAGAACAGAAATCGCTTATTTGTTAAAAATGATGCTATTACGAATGAAGTAAAAAATTAGAGAAATCACAAATTCAAATTAAAGAAAAGGAATTTTTTTTAAACATGAATACAATTTTGAATTAAAGAAGTTTACAGAAGGGATCCAATTAAAGCGAAAACTACGTCAAGTAATTTTTAGCGGAATAATAATCCATAGTTAAGCAACAAAATATAATTGTTTAAGTAGTAAATATTCAGAAAAAAGGTTTTAAAATAGCTGTGTGTGTATTATAATGCAATTCTTTAACTATTGTTTCTTAATGCATACATGGACTATAAGTAGTTTATTCATTACTTTTGTTCTTTCTTTTCAAATAAATCAATTTAACATAAGAAAATCCTCAGGATTTATTAATAAAAAACCTAAAACACAGATTACTTAATTTGGTATTTTATGCATGTCAAAAATTGCATTTTTATTGACAGAATTTCAAAAATAAAAATGTGGTCGGGGTGGCCTAGAGGTCAAGGTCACTTACTCGTAACCGGCGTTGTCGAGTCATGGTGACCCTGAAGAACCTTTGCTTAGAGTGACTGGTGCACGTTAAATATGGTTCAAAGTGTTTTCGCTGACGTGGTGTAGGAGTTATTAGAGTGGGTTTCCAGCCCCGGTGTCATCCTCGATGCATAGCCGTTGTTCTAAATTACCGGGACTAACGCCAAAAATCTTCTTTTTGCTTAAAAGTGAAATGATAAATACCACTTCCTTTTCCTGAAAAGTATTAACTGAAGTGACGTTCCAGCAAGAAAATTATGATTCAGAAAGAAATTGATTATAAACTGCTGTTTGTAAAAAAAAATGCGACACGATGAAGGTATCATCAGAATTAAATAAAATTTAATGCACAAACGACGTATCATTATAAATAAATAACGAAATTTTCAAACCAAAGAAACAATATTAAACGTCAAAAATCCGTATTTGGTATAGCCACCACGTGCAGAAATAAGTGCTCCTACTTGACGTGGCATGAAGTCTAACAGATTTTGAATGTCTGCTTTTGAAATAGAATCCCGTATTGCTTGTATGCGCAGTAACAGTTCGTCTTTTGAAGCTGCAGGACGCGGATCACAAGCGAGACGCCAACCAACCAAATCCCACACGTGATCAATAGGCGACATATCCGGTAAAAAAGCAGGTCAAGGACAAGTTACATGTTTTCGGCTGAACAGAAGTCACAAACAGTTTTTCCAATACATGGGCGTGCATTATCCTGCTGAATGATAGCTTCCCGGATGCCTTGAAGAAAGAAAACTTCAGTCAGTAGCACTTCATGGACGTAACTGTTCCTATTGAGATCATCTTCAATTCGTAGCAAATTGGGTCATCCATGATAAGAAATCGCACCCGAAACCATGACTCCTAGTGTTAGGCCACTATGTCGTTCGATAATGCACTCTGGAAGGCAGCGTTCACCGGCATAG